TCCTTAAACGCGCTCTCGCCTGGTGATGATAGCGAAGCAATAGCGAAGTGTGCTTTCGCGACTACACGACTTCGGGCGCTCGAACAGCAGCGGCCGAAGTCGCGGTGAAGATGCCTTAAGGAAGTCGTAAGGTGAAATGAGTTTGATAAGAATTCGGTCTAACTTGCGCTACGCACACATTGAAGTGTCATCTAACTGCCCGTGCGATTAGAAAAATATTGGCTGTTCAAGAATATTCGAAATGTTTGCAACTCAAGCTGATACTTTTCACACGTGTTCCTTGGGACCAACGTGCTACTTTATATCGGCATTAATGAGAAAATTAATCATTTTCATCTTTGTAATGTCGTGTATGTACGTTTACCTTAACTTCGCTTCGAAGCAACATTCATTACTTAGGTAATGAAACAAAAGTATAGATACGTAATTTTGCTCAATAAATATGAAATTTATGAGTTGGTCCTTTTATGCACTGAAGATACGACGGTCTCCCCAACACGATTGCTAAGCTCGACAGTTCGATTATCCTATCGCGCGCCGATCATGTTTGCCGTGTATCCGTGAACTGCGACCGCGCTCATCCGTGGAGGATGAATACGAGAGAATAAAAGAGACAGAGAGAGAGAGAGAGTGAGAGTGAGAGAACTTCTCACGCGAGTTCTCGGACGCGCCGCGCGGAAATGACGTTATCGCGCGGCCTATTATTAATGGAAATTCAATTTCTATTGATTCAATTTCAATTTGATTGCCGAGTATCCGGACTGCGGAGACCGAACATCGCTCTCCGTAGCGTCGCCGCTTTCGCTTCGCGGACTCGTTGAAATGTTTGTTCGCGCATCCGCTCTTCCCCCTCCTCCTTTCTCCGACGCGCGCACCCTCTTCGCAGCCTCCGCTCGCGATAAAGTGCATTTTAATAACGCATCTCGAGCGCATCCCGTCTATGCAGTCCTTCCAGCCGCTGCGTGATCCCGCCCTCGGGATATTTCCGATATTACCTGGAATCTCTTTAATTAATCGCGGACAGCTTACGATGCAGCTCGCGCGGATACATCGGATACGTCGGACTTCCGCGGAAAATTGAAATATCCACTGCCGCTGCTCGTGATTTGTTTCTCTCTTTCGTGCCCTTCCTCCCTTTTTTTTTCAATGAAGCGGGATATCTTCTGCTTTCTCTCTCCCCCCCACCCCCCATCACGTCTTTTCCCGTGATCGTAACGGCGGAAGAGGTCGCGATGTCACGACATATGGCGGACGAACGATGGCGCTTCGCAAAATCCAATGGCGACTCAATCGCCGCTAAATCGAGACACTCGATAGCGCTCTCTCTCCTTCTCTTGCCTCTCTCTCTCTCTCTCTCTCTCTCTCCTCTTTTATCCTCTTTCACCGCTTGTCTCTCCCTCTCTCTCTCTCTCTCTCTCTCTCTCTCTCTCTCTTTCCGTTCGATCCGGGCAAACTCTGCGTGAAAAAAGGCAACACGGCCGCGATGGAAATTTTTGCAAATTGTCGGTGCTCGACGCTAGATTGGACGAGCCGGCGTGCGACCATCCGAGGGAATTTCCCGGCGGCGGCGCCGCAGCTTTCGTTGAAACCGGAGGAAATTACATCGCGCGGCAAAACCGCGACCGCGAAGCTCGTTACGGTCCCCGCGCGCACGAAGAGGAAGAAGAACCCGGGGTGGAAGGCGAGAGGGAGAAGCGCGCTTTTTATTCATTTAACGGTATTTTCCCTTTGCGCGCTCACGCGCGAGCGCGAGTTACGCTATTATTACCGCTGCGCCGCGGCGGGTTGTTGGAAATTCCGCGCGAATTTCCGCGTGGTCGAATGTCGTCGTCGCGGGGGACGCCCGCGCGCGCGCGCACGGTAAAAGCGTGTTTACGCGGTGTCGTAACGCGTGTTCGCGTTCGCGAGAACGTCCATTCATTAACTCGGCCGACTATTTTCAGTACGAGGCGCGAGATGTGTTTTCCCGGTACGCTGCATTGTATTCCGCGTAAGGTTAATCATAAATATGCAGAGCGTGTGTACTTCCCTCCGCCTGTGTACGCGTATGCACACACACACAGCCGATATGCGCCGTATGTGCACGCGTACACGCCCGGCAGCGACGGTAGCGGGAAATGTATTTTCCGCTATCGATTCGTCCATGGTCTTACTCTCTGGGAAAATAGCCGATGCTACCCCATACCGTCCTTGTTTGAAACTCAAACTCTCGCGCCCCTGCCGGCCGCGGCGAGATCGATAAAGCGTCGAGTAATATTCCGCGGTAACTGTTGCTTCGTACTGCCCTTCCGGCGCTGGAAAAATGATACTTCAACTGTATCGGTAATGTAATCCTACCGCCAGCGACAGAGAGAGAAAGAGAGAGAGTATGCTTGTGTGTGTGGAGGGGGGGGGGGGATTCGAATGGAAATTTCGACCACGTTGAGCTGCCCCGTTAAACCTTTAATTCGACGACACAACGGGAGCTAAGATGACAAGGCAGGTTCAATTCTGACGATGTAACTTACTTCTACTTCGATCATCACGGTGTGTCTTTAATTTCCATTTTCGCCGTTTTCAGCGCCGAAACAAGTTGTTCCAATCAGGGTGCATTTATAGCTCTTCAACGACATTGGAATTAAATTAATCTGTAGAATCGAAAGTTCGAAAGAGGGAAGATAACAAATGTGGCTTCGTTAAAATAGGTTTTTGCTGGTCTATAGATCATCTAAGTATCATCGCAGATTATCCTTGAGAGCGTCAGAGGAGCATCAGAATTTCGACTCGAAGGGAAGAGAAACATTTCCCTGCGAAACTTGAGATCATTACCGCGACGGGACGTACCACAGAGTCAGGATTCGCAAATCCGCTGCTCCCTCGTTTCCCTTCGGCGGTTGATTATCCCCTTTTCCGACTTCGTGTATCTCTCTCTCTCTCTCTCTCTCTCCCTCTCTCTTTGTAATGAAGCTTCGCATATACGAGGCGCCGTGAAATTTTTCGCCTCTACTTCGGCCGCACAGACGCCGAATAACGATGATTGATATCCATTGATTGTAAATATCTCTAACGAAGGACTCCACCCTCTCTTTTTCTCTCTCGAGTGCGCGCACACGGCCAATCGTCGTATCGTTTTCGCGAGATTATCCGAATTATTCCCGCCGCTTCCAAACTTGATTAAGCGTGGGCTCACGTGAAATTCCCTCTCGCATCCGCATCGAGAGGCGAATATCCTCGTTCCCGCCGACTTCTTTCACTTATGCGATCACAGTTACAAATACGAAAAGTTTTCTCTCATTGCGGGGACTAATGTTACACGATGTTACGCGAATCGTGTAAGCTGGCGGTGGATTTTTCTCCCGAAGAAATAAGGGAACTCACGACACGTTGGACTAAGCGCACCGAAGATCAAAGGGGATGTTTCCATGATAAAAAATACAACGCTAATAAATTTTTTCACCGTTTTCACAATCAATTTTACGGAGCGTGAATAATGATTGTTGATTTACCCTTGTATTTTTGCTCGCGACGATGTCCCAAGCGGACGGAGAAATTATTTGTCGATGTCACGTTCGCGCGTCGTCACGATTTAACGCTACTATTATGGGGACTATTATAATTGCACGCGCGAGCGAACGGTGTCCCGATTGAAGCCATTTAGAGACCAGCGGCGGCGGCGCCTCGTATTTGACGCGACGAGCACACACAGGACGTGCATAAACGTATTAGCGTCCGTAATTATCCGCGTGGCTGTTTGAAGTTGTTAATGAGCTGCTTTCGTTATTGTTCCTCATTAATGCCACGCGCGTTGTTAGTCACAGAAACATGCCCTTCTGCGAGAGGAGTGAGAGAGAGAGAGAGAGAGAGAGAGAGAGAGACGAGGAGATGAGTGTCCGAATTGAGACGTGAAATTTCATTCACGGGTATCGTGGAAATGATTGCACAACACTCGTCGTTGAATCGTCAGATTCACACGAAAAAACAAATTGATACCGATTCAAGACTTATATATAGAAAAAAAATTAGTAATAGTTAACGAGGAATTACTTATTTTTGTTTTATTATAGAGTTCGGTCTATCGTTTCTCGTGCTCTTATTAGCTCATGCAAAATAATTATTTCCTGGTTAACTATTGCGATTTTTGAATAATGGTGCGTAACTTTTTTATTAGCTTAATCCCCTTCTACCTGCACACGAATGCTTGTATTAATGTTATCGGACGTCTTGTATATGAAAATGCAAGTCTTGAATTGATACTAATTTTTTTTCTGCAGTCTCGTCTGATCTTTCTCTCTCTCTCTCTCTCTCTCTCTCTCTCTCTCTCTCTCTCTCTCTCTCCGACTTTCTTTCGAATCGGAAAGAGAAAAAAATATTTTCTCCGAAAAGACAAGCTGTCTGTCGCACCGAAGTATCGAGTTTCGCGCACGGGAGTTGGGGGGGGGGGAAGGGTGACGCTTCCGAGCGATTTTGCGAAAATCGACGGTAATTCCGGGCCCTTTTTTTTTCTTCCCTCTTTTTTTCCCAAGCGTCGCGCCAATCGAGTTTATCTTTCAGAAAAATCGGCCACGATGGACACGCCAACTCGCGAGAGCTTGCAAAGTGCGCTCTTGATTGTTATCGCGAGGATTGGGGGTAGTTACGTACCTGTCGCCTCCCCCCCCCCCCCCCCCNCGCGTGTTCCGCGACTCACTGGTCGCGAGAAAATATCGCTGTCACGGGGCCAACTCGCGACAAACTATTTTTCTGCACGAGCCCGGTCGTAATATCGAGGACGGGCCGAAGCGCCGCTGCGCGCAATTATTTTCCAGTTGTGCAATAAGCGAGCCCGCCTCGCACACGTGGTGGTTGGGAAAATAAGGGAAAGAAAGAAAAAGTGTGGGAGTCGTGCGTGTTCAACGGCCGACGGTGGTGAATTATCCGTGAATTATCGGTCGCGCGAGCAATCACTGACGAATTTCTCGAGGAGAGACATTATTATGATCGATATATATTTATTTATTTATTTATATCTCGCTTTTCTACAGACGGACAGCCGGTGCCGACCCTGTGCGAACTAGCGGCGCGATGCGTCGCCTCTCACATCCCCTTCGAGCTGGTGGAGCATTTCTACCCGCCGGTGCCGGAACAGCTCCAGCTGCGCATCGCCTTCTGGAGCTTTCCCGACAACGAGGAGGACATACGGCTGTACTCGTGTTTGGCGAACGGCAGCGCCGACGAGTTCCTTCGCGGAGAGCATCTATTCCGGTCTAGAAGCGTAAAGGAGCCTTTGCAAATCGGTAAGACCGTAGATACACACCTTGTGCGTTTGCAGCCGCCCCGGTGACGAGGCATTTTTCGTTACATCGTTCCCGAGTAGAAATGTATCTAGTCAGCTTAAATCAAAATTTGGTAGCTAGCTGGTAGAAAAAATGCAAAATCGCTTTTGTAATATATAACCGTTGTCTAACCTTTACGTGTCAGATATGACAGAATGGATGGCGCTATTTATTAAAAAATGTATAATTAGCTTAATTATTTATAATTTATTATCTAGCTACTGTATACTCGCCAGTAGCGTTTGAAAATGAGATGGCGAATTAAAATTGAGAGATAACGTTATTCTATAAAAGTCTTAAGAGGACAGAAGTGAGCGTGCTTATCTGCCTTAATAACTACTTAATAACTTACTTAATAACTAGTTATGATTTCTCATCTCGTAACTATAATCTCTCTCGTTTCGTCACTATATAATTTCTCTCGTTTCATCACAGCTCACTTATTTATCTAGCCATTATTTAGCTACTAGAAGAAGTAAGCGTTACATTATCGGCTGGTAGCGACGTTATAAGATATGAAGTTACTTTGTGGCTAGACATCCACAAGGTCCAATTTCTACTTGGGTTTGTTCATCACATTGTCGACCGTTCACGGGGAAACTCGCGTTCCATTGTCGGTCGAGCGCCTGCTGTTCGGCCCGCGAGTTGACAGCGGCCGAAACAAGGGCCCGGCGATAAATATTGGGGGCGGATGTAGAAAACGGCAGGTCAACAATGTGTTAACTGATTTGGTCTCTCATGCTGACCTCACGCTAATCGCATCCTTGCGGCGCGTCTGAAACAGGATTCCACCTGAACGCCAGCGTGAATCCGCAAATGGTGCCGAACGGCGGGCGACCTCAGTTCAACGTCGCCGTGACCTTCGATCGACGGAAAATCACGTCGTGCAATTGCACCTGCTCCTCAACGGCCTACTGGTGCGCGCACGTAGTAGCCGTATGTCTGCACAGGATACACATGGTACGGAAAAATTACTAACGTAACACTGAGAAAGAAGAAAAAAAGGCAATCGGGCGAGAAGAACCAAGTCTTAGGGTTGTTGCAAATTTTGCCGCGCAAATTGCAGTCGAGTCAGATCCACGATCTGGGAATTTGATCTAGGAATTTGAGCGGCGGAAATGTAGACAAGGGTAAGGGTTAACGAAACTGGAACGTACTTGTGTAAAATAGATGTTCTTTCGGCCGCTAAAACGTTCATCTAATTGCATAATATGAGGAATTCCACCTCTGATGGAAGATTGAGTAAATCAGGCGACAATTACGATCAAAATAGTGTCTCGGGTCTATTTCGTGTTTGCTTGAATAAACTAAATTTTAAAGTTGTCTACAAACAAGAGATTAAAAGAACGCAAAACTTTTGTTGAAGAAAAATCGGGGCCATTGGTTCGCTACGTACAACCTTGAAATTGAGTTCGTTTATCTCGACTTGAATTGCTTTGATTGATCTTTTTTTTACGGTATAAGAAGGCCAATATATATATATAATATTTTGTATTTTTATATTTTATTATATTCTTTTTTCATGCTTTTAACTATATTTTGATTATATTTGTATTGTTTCCTTATATTTTTATTATTTTTATCATGTTTTTCTATATTTTTCCGCGGAGAGACAATGATTTCAATGCCACTTTCTTCCAGTCAACGCAAGTATGTCTGAGGGCACCGGTCAGCGAATCCCTGTCGAGACTACATCGAGAGCAACTGCAAAAGTTCGCCCAGTACCTCATCAGCGAATTGCCGCAGCAGATTTTACCTACTGCTCAACGGCTTCTGGACGAACTGTTGTCGATGCAACCGAGCGCCATCAACATTTATTGCGGAGCGCCCGATCCGACTGCAGGAGCCTCGACTCACGATCAAACGTCCTGGTACTTAGACGAGAAGACGCTACACGATAACATAAAGAAGATCCTCATCAAATTCTGCGTGCCCGCTCCCATAGTGTTCAGGTGAATATTGTGGACAGACGCCAAGCTCACTGGCTTTTGTATGCTTTTAAGAATTGCGATACCTTCACTTTGATCAGCTTTACAATGCATCCTGTATCTAATAGGATAATTTGTTTTTTTAGTAATTCTCGGGAGACATATTTTTCTATTGGTTATAGGATGCGTTGCAAAACCCGTCGAGGTGAAGTTTTTATGACCTTTATAGCTCCTACTTCCTCACCGCAGCTATCTTAATTAATGACGTCAGAAATGAGAGAGTGTGCTTAAAATTCTTGCGGAATATGTTGAAATAAAAGAACATTTTCATAAACTGATCATATGTTTTTGCGATCGATTGAGCATATTTGTAAAATATTCCGAAAATTTCCCATTTACCTTAACAATCGCTAAGTAACCGTGAAATTAACGTAACAAAATCACGAGAAAAGATAGTCTAAAAAGGAAGATCGCATGCGTCGTGTTAATTTTCAAATTATTCATTGATCGTTAGAGTAAAAGGGAAAAAGTTTCGGAAGTTTCAGAATTTCCGAAATATTTAAAAAATGTTCTCAATCGATTACGATCGATCGTCATTCTTTTACGAGCTTTTACATATCCTTTCATCCCTTCCGACGTGTTTCGCAAGAATTTTAGGCATGCGTTTTCTCGCTTTTGACGGTCTTCAAACAAGACGAGCGAGGGATCAGCGTCCTTATTCTGTAACTGTAATACGTTTTGCATAATACGTTTTGTCTGCGCAAAGATTTGTAACGCGTATGTTAAAAGGTACGGAATAAGGGCGCCGGAGCACTAAGTATCCGACTGTACGCTGCTAAACTTCAGAAGAGTAGAACCTCACGTGTCGAGGCTATCATCACGTCCGTACATACGTAGTCGCGATTTGACTCGTTATTTCATTCCGCCATCTTTCAGCGACGTTAATTACCTGAGCACCACGGCGCCACCCGCTGCTGCCGAGTGGGCATCGCTGCTGCGGCCATTGAGAGGCCGCGAGCCCGAGGGCATGTGGAACCTCCTCTCGATAGTGCGCGAGATGTTCAAGCGGAATGACCGTAACGCCATACCTCTTCTGGAGATCATCACGGAGGAGTGCATGGCCTGCGAGCAGATCCTCGTCTGGTGGTTCAACACCAAGGTTGCGTTGCTCAACGGCACCGGATACGGCGGCAAGCATAATATGAACAGCAACGTCCACGCTTCCCAGCACGCGTGCTCGTCCCTCTGCGACGAGATCGTCGTGCTGTGGCGATTAGCCTCGTTGAATCCCGGCCTCTCACCGGCGGAGCGCGAGATGCTGCATGCTCAATTCTTGACTTGGCACTTGAAGATCATAGACAAAGTGAGCGTCCTGTCCTCTCCCGTACATGTATGCCCTGCCATTCCCTGGATAAAAAATTACACGACTTTCAACCTTACATATTTACGCGCATAAAGTCAAAATTAGAATTATAATTAGAGTTACTTATGCGATTTTCGATTTTCTCATTGGTTACGTACAGGAAGTCGCGTAATTTTCTCCATCTATGCGGTCTACGACCTTATGCATACACGCACAAGCTTGAAGCCGCGTAACTTTCGATCTAGGGAATATCCATGCCGCGGTGTGTACAGAGGGAAGCGGAAGGATTTAGACGCATTGAAATTAGGAGTTACAACGGACTATCATCGGATTGAGAATCGACGTGACAGCCGTAGTACACGTGCACTTGCTTAGTTCATCTCTCAATCGTGATAGTTTGTCGCGCTACCAACTTCAGTGCATCCAAACCGTTTCGCTTCGCACTGTACGCTCCGGCGACATGTGGTGAGAGATCGTCTCAGTCGGAGTCGGTTCTCTAACGAGTCACTCGCCTGTCGTCGTAGGTCACCAAGAGCCGTGGCAGTTCCGTGTCGCATAATTCGCACAACAGGAACAACAGTGGCACGCAGAAGGAAACTTCCCTGAAACACGATGTTGCGGTATTCACCGGCTTCAAACCGGCGCTGGAGGCTTGCTACCTGGACTGGGACGAGTACATCTTGCCCGGGATCACCTACACCGCTGGTAGCAATCCCATGTATCACTGTCCCTTCACCTGCTTCCGACACGCCGGCGACACGAGAACGGAGGTCAATCAGGTCGGTATCGCCGCTTCCTTTTCCAACGAACTCTACCTTTCTCTCTCTCTCTTTCTCGCTGGCCTCGCTTACGTAACGCGACCCGACGTACGGGTCTCTTCTCCAGGTCAATTCCAGCTCGGCTGTGCTGAATTACCAACCACCGATCTCGCATCACCACCACAGACGGCCGTTGAACGTCGGCCTGGTTGAATTCAGTTACTTGGACCGGCGACGGCTGAATCCGCGTGAGTTTTCTCTGTGCTCGCGGAACGCTGGCGGCGGTGGCGACGGGAATCGCAGCAGCGTCAGCTCCGAGGGCTTCTGCGAGAATGACACCGACATTCCCGACATAACGGAATCTCAAGTCGTCCTCGTCAGACAAGGTTGCGCTCAGCTGAACAACTGCGGCGACACGGACTCGCAGGTGATTTCTCTCAAATAGCACGGCGAATTCTTCAAGTACTCCCGAAATGTGCTCTCCTGTTCCGTGTTGTCGTTCTTTAGGAATCTATGGAAGAATACGGTCAGAATGATTTAGGACGTTGCATGCATCATGATTGGAATTCTCGAGAACTTCTTCGTGTATTCACGTAGAATCATTTCATACCAACACACGCGTATTTTATTAATTTAAGGGGAATGGTGTTTTTAAGAACAGAAAGGGGAATACGAAATACCCCCCCCCCTTTCCTGTAAACACACCAACTCGAAGAGTAACAAGTAAAAGTTGATTTTAAAAAGTTACACTAATATTATAATTTCATTCAGCAGTATAAATGTTATATGTAATACATATTGTGAGTAACAATTATATTGTTAACAGGAAATTATAATATTGATGTAACGTTACTGTTAGTGTTTGGTAGGTAACAATCCTCCTCTCCAAATGAATTAATTAAAATACACTCAGCTTTCAACCACGTGAAAGAAGAGAGCGATTCAGAAAATTGCACAAAAATCAGATAGAATTAAAATACACACGCGCGAAACATTAAAAGTAACACAAACGTGTATTGATGAAGAAGTAATTGTGACAAAATAACGCTCGTGATTCCTCACGAATTTTCAAAGTATTTAGAATACCGAGTCGCGAAATGTTCGTTAAATAATGAACTTTTGAGGAATACATCAAGACGAATTTGACTGCGATTAATTCTTCAAAAATTCCTCAGACCACTTGTCTAACTTTTCTAAATACTCGTTAAGATGAATTCTCTACATAAACCTCCTATCCACCGCTGCGCTATCTGGATTTCTCCTTTTTCCCCTCATTCATTTTCCTCCGTTTATTTTCCCGACGCTCGTGTTCATTTCGCAATGAACGTCAATCGTCGCTTCGTTGCTTCACTTCTTTGTTCTCCTCGCGTCACGCCGCGCATTGTGTGTTCAGGAGGGAGGTGGCAGCGAATCGTCCTCTAACAGCAACGTCAGCCTGAAAGATGCTCAAGGCTCGGACAATCCCCGCTCAAACGCCTCGTCCGAGACTAATAGTGATAGTAACGACAGTAGTAATAACAAAGCAGCATGCGAGGATAGTAGGATGAATCTCCCGGAGAACCGCGACAAGTCGGCGCTCTCCAAGGACACCGCCGCCAAAAGTGAACAGGAGTCTGACCAAGAGAAAGAGGCCAGACAACCGTTCAAGGATGAGAGCTCCTCGTCCAGCAGCGATAGTCCTTCCGGTGACGAGTATCACGTGTATTACTACGATCCGAAAACCGTCACCAGCAGCAGTGGCCTGCCGAGCAAATACGTGAACAGCAATACCCATGCCACGGCCACACCGGACATCGGTACGGTTTTGGACAACTTGAAGAAGATCGAGGACCCGTGGGACATCCTGTTCTCGCGGGCGGAAGGACTCTACGCTCACGGTCACACGAGGGAAGCCTGCATTCTCGGTGTACAGCTGGCCGAGGAGCTCTTGGCTAACCCGCCCGACCTTATGATCGAGGGGCCGCCGGCGCCGGCTAGCAAGAGCAGGCGGAAAAAGGTAACGTTTCTAAAAAAAGCCGCCGAATTAATCGAGTAATTAAGGCTCCTGGTCCTACAGTTGCAATGTAAGTTAATTAATTATTTACTTTGTTAACCCTAGTTCCGCACATTCCGGTCCAATGGACCGCCTAAACGTTCTTCGATTTTCTAGTTCTCACATGGTATACTATTTTTCGTTTCCTTGAAGCAGGTGTCCGTTGGACACGAACGAACATTGCTTTTCGTTAAATCGCGTTTGCTAAACTATTTGGAATTTTTTTTTCCGAAAATATTTTTTTTCTTATAATAATAAATTTAGTTTAAACCCAAATCATTTTCCATGACCTGACATCATAAATATCTTATTTAGGCATTGTATTTCGAATTCCCACATTTCAAGCTTAAAAAATATCAATTAGAACGAAAATGACAAGACGACGACGAAAGTCGAGCGGATCGGAACGTGGCGGATTAAGGACTCAAAAGTAAATTTGTGCGTAATTAAGTTTGAAACTCCCGTTTTATAAGGCGAAAGGCGTAAAAATACATACGCAAAATTCTTGCGAGATACGTTGAATGAAGTAATTAACTAATAAGTAAATTAAAGAATTAATTAATTAAACGATACGATGTTACACCGACAAACCGTGTGATACTCAGCCGCCTGATGTTACAGCAACACGTTAATTCGGCGTCTCATCAGTTAACGTGTCTCGCTTCGGCGACTCTGGCGAAATGCGGATTCCTGTGCACGGTATTGGCCGAGAACCCAGAACATCACAATCTGGCGTTTCGTGTGGGGCTTTTCGGCCTCGAAATGGCCAGGCCACCGGCGAACACGAAACCGTTGGAGGTAGGATCAGAGAATCGAGATTTAGGGGACCTAACTGTGCCGTGCCGCGTTTGTTCAAGATTCATGATTACTTTCGACTTAACCAGGTCAAGCTGGCTCACCAGGAGAGCGAATTAGTGGTATTACTAAAGAGGATCCCTTTGGGACCGGCGGAATTAGCCATGATACGACAGAGAGCGGAACAACTGAGGGACGGCGTTATGCGATCAAGAGGGCACGCGCTCTTGCCCATCATGCTGGCCAGCTTCATATACGATGCGCTTGATGTGCCAAGTATGCAGCACTTTCGTCCATATTCTAACCGCACACTCAGCGTTCAATGTGGCCGCATAATTTCCGATTCCAAGTTCTATTTATATTTACATCTGGCTTTCTGTAGATTAGAAAGATATAGTTTTAAAGTCTCGGAGGAAATCTGGCTTTGTTTTCCATCTTTCCGCGGGTGAGTGAAAAAAAAAGTAGGAAAAAACCGGATTTTTCGATTTTCCACAGATTTCTCGGTTTCTTTCCGAGGAAAGATTGGAAGAAACGATTTTTTTCTCAACTATATACAAAAACCAAGGAGAGATAGAACGGGCCTTTAAAAGCCTAATCGCAGCTGTCGGAGCGATATGATTTCTTTTATTTACAGCTTCCGAACAAACGTACGCGTTGAATCAAGTTTCTGCGCTAATAAAACGAGTCCTGAGTCCTAAATATTCGATTTATTTTATATTTCATTTTATTTTATTCAGAGTCCCATATATTTAATTAGATTCATAATTATATAAAAGAAAGAGTTTCTTTCCCTGTTAAATCGTACATAAGCAGGATGGAAAATTTAAGATCGAATGCTTCGCAGGAGTGAAATTGCCGACAGAGGTCGAACCGAATCTCGGATTTGACGCTGCCGTAGCTGTGCTGGGATTGAAGGCGAATGTGAGTGAAGCGGATCATCCGCTTCTTTGCGAAGGAACACGTAGGCAGAGGTAACGAGTTCGCGACTATCGTTTAGCATTAAGCGTGTGTATGCGTGTTAATGTAGATAAGAGCACGTAAATCTTTTCTTCCTCAGAGGGGAGTTGGCTATCACCCTGCTCGTTCATTACAAAGACGATCCCGTCAAATTGGCCAGAATCATGGACAAATTACTGGATCGAGACGTTCATCAGCTAATCAAATCGCCCATCCTCAGTAGCTATTACACCTCCAATCCTCCTACTAAGAGCGAGGTAAGTATCTCTGCGAGAAATATCTCCGAATGGTACGAAGCGTGCGCGCACGAGATTTTCAAAATTTTTCTCAAAAAAAAAAAGAAAAAATCGCAGATGTCAAGATGTGTTCACGAAGAATGCTCGTCACCCCTCACCGGGAAGGACAACGGCGGAAATGGCGATAACATCGTCGGCGGTAGTAGCAGACCTCACAGCAGCACCAGCGCGGAGCTAGAGAGTGGTATGAGTGCACTGACCGTACAACCGCAGATTGTTCAGCCATCTGTGCCTATTAGAACTAAAGAAACGCGGTACGTGCTTGTGAACGGATCATAATACAGTGCGAGACGATAACTATTGCCACCTTGAATATCTTCGAAGTATTCAATGCTGGAGGAAAATTTATTCAACGGAAATTTTTCACTGATACCGCGATTACTTTGAACAATTTTGTTCATCTTCATCTCTCTCTCTCTCTCTCTCTCTCTTTCTCTCTAGAATAGTTAGTAAAACTTTTTTATTTTTCGGATATATTCAAGATGGTACTAGCCATTGTCTCACTTTGAATTACCTTTGTAATACAACACACGTGTCGCGTAATAAATTGTGTCTGATATATATCTCTGTTTTCCTTTTTGTATCCAGATATAAGAGTAAAAGAGTATATCCGTCTATTCCCAACCAGCCGTCAGAAGCGGGGGCACACTTCATGTGCGAGCTCGCGAAAACTGTCCTAGCGAAGGCCGGTGGCACCAGTTCCACGTCGTTATTCCATCAGCCATCCACCAGTCAGAACCATCACGGTCCGCACAGGGCGCTTCACATGTGCGCTTTTCAGCTCGGCTTGTACGCTCTTGGTCTGCACAATTGCGTCAGTCCGAATTGGCTCAGTCGCACGTACTCAAGCCACGTATCCTGGATAACCGGTCAGGCGATGGAGATCGGAGCGCCGGCTATCTGGTTCCTCATCGACAGCTGGGAAGGCCACTTGACGCCACCTGAGGCTGCCAGTATAGCCGACAAGTCGTCTCGAGGGAGCGATCCGAATATGGTCAGAGCAGCGGCGGAGCTCGCTTTGTCCTGCCTGCCGCACGCGCACGCGCTCAACCCCAATGAAATCCAGAGAGCCATATCTCAAGTACGTGCGATCGAGTCACTTTTCGATGCCTTATTTATCTCATAGATTATTCATCGCTTGACACCTTTACCCGTCATCGATTATTCATCGCTCAATGTTTCGTTCTTCTCCTGCAGTGTAAGGAACAGAGTGAAGCTATGCTGGAGAAAGCCTGTATCACAGTGGAAAACACCGCGAAAGGCGGCGGTGTTTATCCGGAGGTGCTCTTTCAGGTGGCGAAGTACTGGTACGAGCTGTTTCTCCGGGTAAGTTCGAGTTGCTACTACCTGCTTCATTAGCAGTCAAATTCAGTCGTGTACACACGCGTACAAAACGATCGGCATACACTTTTTCATATTTTTCGTCGATAAAATAAGTACAAACTGTTTTACGAGCGAGTATAACAAGTATAGTATTTTCTTTACATTACATTATCATAAATCGTTCTTCCCACAAATATTTTTGTTTTACTTGTATTTTGTCGTGTTGCACAGACATTATAATAACGAAGTAATATGAAAAGATTGTGGAAATTATATATATTTTTATGCATAAAGAATTTATTTTTAACCCTCATCTTACATATGGAGGCAACGTGACGAAATTAACACGTTCTGACAAAATTCAAATTAGACTAAATTCTAATTTATTTATAGATTTTTTTCAATTTACGCGGATAATAGGCAAAGTTTTAGCTACTCAGAAAAAATTGATCATCATTTTTTCATTATTTTTATGTTACTATATGAAAATGAGGAGAAATCGACAATCCTTGAAGTCGTAATCTTACCCTCTTTCTCCTACATCGGTTAGTTTATTAAACATATCTCTTCACATTCCTTTTCGAACAGCGAAATCCTGGTGGCGATCAGCAGGATGATGTTCCACATGATCCTTTGCAACTGGATCTCAATGGGATACTGTTAGTCGAACCAGGGCCTCCCGTGGACTTGCCAAATAATCAGATGATGCCCGGCCCGACTCAGGCGGTTGTTGTGACCAGCACGCAACCTCCACCTCAGCCTTACTCCACTCATCCAACGATCACAACTTTGGCGCCTTTAGGTAGAACAAACTCGGCTTTTAGATTCTTATCAATAATCTTTGCTTAAAGTTTGCCTCAAATAAGATATTCAGAATTCGGAATGTGGATGTGAATTTTTCAGTTGAATTTTGTAATTATAAATACAATGTCGCATGTATTATATAATTTAAATGAAAAATTCGAATTCAACTTTAAATTCAGATGAGTATCTTTATATTTTATAAGAAATGTTTTAAATAACAGGATTATTAATACGAACCTTAGAGATTAACCTTAGAATCTTAGAGATATCGTCGAATCTCTCTAATCATACTTTATGTGTGATTCTGTTCCAGGCGTCGGCATGCCATACGCAGTGGGCCCCTTCAGTTTTGTACATCCCCACCATTCTATCGCGACATTCAGTGGCCCCATGCCGTCGCATCGTGTCACTCTACCGCCCGCACCTCCGCACATGCAGATGTATCATGCGTTTCCACCTCATCCCGGGCATCCACAGCATCCGCAACACCCCCCACATCCGCATCATCCACCTCCGCCCGCGCCACCACCACCTGGGCCGCAGTATTACACTGCACAGCCTCCGCCTGCCCCAGGAGCTCATCACTTATACCCCATGCCAGTCAATGTAAGCGCGTTATCTTGCCATTTGTTTCTTCATATCTCTCGGTATTTGTTAACTAGGGTTGCTGATCATTTCGAAGCTTCGAGCTTTTGAATTTTGGTAAGCCGAATCCTCGAAAGTACGTCTTTAAAGGCTGCAATCTTCGCGCTTTGAAGCTTCAAAGAGCACAGCCTTGCGGATGAGATTAAGATTAGATAGCGATAGATCAGATTGAGATTAAGTGGCGGGTTCGAATGATGTTTTTTACATTTTAAAAATCTTACAATTCCGGTATTTCGAAGATTCGATATAATCTCAACATTTTAACACTGAACATCAAAGCTTCTTGGAAGTATTTGAAATTCGAATGTCGATTTCGAATGTACGAAGAGAAAACGCCAATCCTAACATTAACTCTTATCTCACTCAGGTCCAAGCGGGAGTAGCTGGTCCTCTCCCAGGGCAAAATACATTACCCCCCGGGCCGCCGTTGGTCCAAACACAACCCATAATATCGACTGTGAGAGCTCAACCTCAGGTAATTTCCACGTGTTGCGGTAAAAATATAACATAATGATTTCGTGCGTGCGCGCGTGTGTCTTGCCGTGGATAAAAAAGATCGGTTTCTTCGTCGCAGGTTCACAGGCAGAATCAACCGTTCAGTCAGCAGCATTTGCGGACGCTCGTTTCTGCCTATCGCGTGGGTATGTTGGCCTTGGAGACTTTGGCTCGTCGGGTGCACGATGACCGGCCTCAGGCCAAATTTGCACGTAATCCACCATACGGGGAAGACGTGAAATTTTTGCTCAGGGTTGCGAAGCGTCTCGGCACGCAGTATATGCATCAGCTTTGCATCTGCGCCGTGAATAGTATCGTCAGTCCCTTCGTTCTCCACCATGTCGCTCTGGAAGCGTCCCAGTACCTCGCCAGGAACAACCCGGCGCTCATTCTGCAGCACTTGAGATCCGCCTTATTGGCGCCGCTGGTGCACAAGTGCCAACAGATGTTAGTATAGTCGCGTGAAGTCCGAGCGACCGACAGATCACACGGTGAGTGAGGCGACAAATAAAACGTATTCTCGATTCCAGGTATATTCAGTGTATGCATCAGAAGCTGTATCACTTAACAGCTAGCGATTACGAGGAGTTCGCCAATGTGGTATGCGCGGCACGGGCCGCCTTTCAGATCAACCCCGAAGGAAATACTCAGTTCAAGGAGTGGCTGCAATCCATTAAAAGGTGAGCGGCCGGCCCAAACGTCTCATCCTTGCGAACGGGACCGCCCGCAACGACACCCGAGTACTTACTCGTCTGTGATTTCAGATCTCAATCCTGCAATAAAGACTTGTGGGCGCAGATTAACGCGGCGCTACAACAGACCGGCAAATGACACAGAATCGAGCCAGCCGCGACGTGGCTCACCTCCCTCCCCCATCACCCTCATCCTCCGCCGCCGCCACCGCCACCGCCTCCGCCACCACCTACGACCACGACTCTCGTGTTGCAGCATCAACACCCGTGTCATCCCCATCCACAGAGTGTCGTATGCGTTCACGGACTGGCCATCAATCCTACCCTCAACAAGTTCACTTGGGACAAGATCTCGATACCGTGCATCGTCGAGGAGGTGACGCACCAACTGGCGCCTCCTCCCCCTCCTCAGCATCAGATGATGGCCGGTATGCCGGGACCGTCCGCGTGGCAAGAACCAACCGACGGCCGTGGTTCTCAAGGGATCAATCCCAGAGACGCTTGAGATATATTTTAAGTTTTAGTTAAATGTATTTAGATCACAAAGTACTTTAGTTAAGCGTATGTAACTTCGAGGATGAGTTAGGTTAGGTTAGGTATCACTAAGTCAGCAGTTAAGTGTAACAGCAGCCACGAGTATAAGTTTTAGGTATATATATATATATATACATATATATATATATAGTTTTAGGTATATATATACATATATATACATATATATATACATATATATACACATATATATACATATATATACATATATATATATATATATATATTTATACACACAATTCTCTAAGATCTATATAGAGATGATGTTGATGAGCGCGCGCCACTGATCTATAGAATCTTTTTGCATAAAAGTGATATGTGTATATTGTGTATTAACGGCCAAGAATCAAAATTCACGTTTGGACTTGGACATTCATGTCGGACACACGAGGGAATCGCCGGTCGGATCATTTCTTTCACAGTGTCTTTCTGTAGCCGCGGTTAGATAGTGAATTTTATTTTCATTTATATAGGTAGAGAATTAATTCTCCCGTGTTATTTTATTTTTGTAAACAAATTCCGAATATCGATATCGTCTATTTATATATAACGATCGTAGGATCAAATCCGTATGTAAGTAAAGTTTACTTAACGTTACGCCAAAATTTTTATAGAAGCGAATTTTTTTTTAATTTTCTTCTAGTGGCGCTTTAGCGTCTCCTGGTGAGTCGTAACGCCCCCCCCCCCCCCCCCCCCCCCCCCCCCNGTTTTCTTCTTTTGTCTCTGTACATCCCGTTACGCTTTATTTCGTTTCTCTTCTCTCTTTTTTATTGTATCGTAGTTGTTTACGCTACACCCGACCGCAACATATTTTTCGTTTGTCATTATTGACAATCCGTATAAACGAAATGATCTCTGTAATTTTTAAATTAAAATAATTTGAGATACAAATAAAGAAGAAAACACACATTACATACAGCCGGCATATCACCTTCAGATTTGAGCCACCTATCCATCTGGCAGTGCCAGTCTCGTGTCCTACGAAATACCACCATTGATTAGCTGTATCTTCAACATTCCTTTCGTAGATTTCTTTGGCATGCGAGTGTTGTTAACCGTCTCTCGGTTTTTTTTTTGGCAGTGAAACGATAGCGGACGAATATTCCATTGTTCACACTTTCACTGTTCTTTCAATGATGATTGACATGACCGGTGGCTCGTAAATGATAGCGGTGAACACATCGGTGCGTTTCTTTTTTTCTTTCTTTTCCTTTACGTTCGTTATAATTTATTACGTTATTATAATTTATTTTCAAATCATCCGTTATATATTGTTGTAGGAAAGGAGAAGGAAAGAGATAGAGGGAGAAAGGGAGAGAGAGAGAAAGAGAGAGAGAGAGAGTTCATTGCTTACATTAAATATCTGGTAGCCTAAGTGAACTAACAAAGATTAAATAATACCGCGACATGTAAAACGGTAAGAGAGAAGAAAGATTTATTTTCACTATGTAATTAAACGCTATAGTACGCGAGAGAAAGAGAGAGAGAGAGAGAGAGAGAGAGAGACACGCCGCGCGAAGTGTATTACGATAAATATAAATACTTGTTATTGTTTTTAGTATGATGAACTCTGAACAGTGCCTCGTCGAAATTTATGTGAAACACTTTCCGCATGTCGAGAGATGTTCTACATAAGGTCTACTGTCTGTAAATCGTCTACGATATTGTCTACTGTCTGTAATTCTGTAATTCCTTCGTCAACGCTACGCATGATAGTGTGCGCACTATGTAGAAACAGAAATGAAGAAGCAAAAGAGAAGCTATTCGAGCGCGCGCTAAAGAAAAAAATAGCTTGCTTCGCACAGCCGTCTTGCAAAACCGCCCGAGGCAACGTCGACGTGGACGGCGACAATTGTTCGGAATTGCATGCCGCTTCAACATGCCGAAGGGCGATATTCGTAGTAAAAATCTTGTATTTAAGATTGCCTCAAGTTGATCCTCAAATATTATACGGATCGTTTCATCGACTACAAAGCATATGAAGATGAACTTGAGACGATCGTGAATATAAGATCTAACTATGTAATATCGACCAGACAGATCCGTTTGGCACGACGTGTTCTATCGATCGTTCCTTAAAGCGCCGGTGAGCCAATGGGTGAGCGGATTAACACGTTGAGCATCGCATCGCTATTCGTGGGTTACGCTTTTATATACGCCTGATTGGTTTCATTAAAGGTGACTTTTTTCGCAAACTCTGATTAATCTAATCGACAATATAAAATTGCTGTCAGTCAAAAATAACCTTCCGTTCAACCTTTTTAATGGAGATGAAAATTATCAATTTTTCGATTATTGTTGAGCGACAAAAAGATAATTACAGAACTAGAAATTTCAATTTTTATTATTACTTGTCGATTAATTTAATCTGAGTTTGATGAAAGCCGTTACAGCGAATAGAATAGAATATATCGGATGGAAAGCAACCAAATTTTATTAACATAACTTACCGAGAATTTAAGCCTGTGGGGGATTGAACGCGTGAATTGAACGTAGCGATTATTAATACGTTAACTGCCACGTTGATTTCCGTTGATTACGTAAAAGCTTAACTGACGATTGAATTAGTAAAGATACGGCGAAGTGTAATTCGAAATGTACGTATCTTTCATCGCGTCTCATGGATTATTGGCCGTAAACCAAATGTCATTTATTATATTTTTTTATTTGTAATTAATTATGCTTTATACATAACTCAGTGGGACGCTGTGCTCTCTAAATTTCTTAAAGTGGAATCTTACACTTGGATAAAAAGTCAGTATTTTCACTCGAGGCAGCAATGAAAATATTGCTACTCGAGACCACAAGGGTGAATGTTTTACTCGAGCTTCGAGCGGATTCCGACTCCACATCTTTCAATGTGTCGGAGTGAATATGGAGTGAATATATTCCTGTGGCGATGGAATATATGACACCCACTTTGCAATTTCGAGTAAAAACATTCACTTGACAATTCAGAGTGTAGAATTCATTCTACACAAAGGGAAAGTCACTCGAATCTGAGTGACTTGGTGGTCACTTGACATTTTGAGTGAAACTTCACTCCAAGAAATTTAGAAAGTGTCCGGAAGATTCGCCTTGCGCTTTGATAGAACGCTTAATGTGCGTCCGGCGTTCGTCGATCGAAGGACGCGATCCATTCCGCCTTGTTGTTGAACATGTCGATGATGGCACGCGCATTCATTCATATTTCATGCGTATTCGTGTCGCACTATTGTTTGAGAAAGTGCCGAATGCGCCGCTTGCGAATTTAGGAGCGATCGAGTGCTCGTGGATAATAGAACTGGCTCGAGAAGCGTAGGCTTGCTATACGTATAGGTTCAACGCGTCTGCGAAAAGCAAAAATTAGATATATATGGCACTGCCACTCAGCTAATCACATCTCGACTGGAAGCGGCGTAATGTTGCGCGAGAACGTCATCGGCGTTGAGACTGCGGACATCAGAGATGGAGACGCGTCTTTGCGTTCACGAAGTTAAGGGGAGTGGAGAGGTTTGAACTCGCGGAGAAGCCGGTAAAATTTCATCCCTTACTGCAGATATAGAATGTGAGAATTAATTAAATGTGAAACACTTTTTGTAGGCTATTTATATTTATTTATACTTTAATGGTAAGAATATATTTAAAATATTGAGAATTATTAATATATGAAGATGGGGATATATGCTGCAGCCCGATTGCGAGTGTGATCCGGTTGACATTTTTAATAGACACGAACGGCGCTACGTTTCGAAAGCTTTTCTCTGTAGATTGAACTAAAAAAGGAAAGATTCGGTAAAAATCAACAAAATGGCATCAATAATATCCCGGAAATAAAGTGCTTTCCACTGCAATAGAACTTGCATAAATAATATGTTTTTTCAATGGAATTTAGATCTATAGAAGATTTAACTCTTGAATTAAAAAAACAAGAAAATCTCGACATCTTTGTTCGATCGAGAGTTATGCCTCTAAAACCACAATATCTATATCGTGGAATGAAACAGGCTGCAACAGCTCTATATATTAATACCTTTTAATTCCTTAAATATAGTTTTATCGTTAATACATAGAACAAATAGCCTGTACGAAAAGCTTTCGTATTCGGTTAATTTCTATATATCTGTAGAAATGAGTTAAATCTTACCCAGGTGTCTTAAATCGTCTCATGGCTCGATTTTCGACGTTGCGCTATCTGGATATTGGATTTCCCGCAAGTTCAAACCTCGACAACCCCCTTAAGGCTACGCTTCAGCGCTTTTCGTCAACAAGGAGCTTTATAGCGTCACGGCCCCTTCTTCTGTATCTTCATCGCCTTAGCTTCGCTCGTCCGACGTCCGACTGGGACTTACCTTTTACTCTCGATCGCGTCGATTCCGGCAAAGACGAGATCTCGCGAGCAGGAGATGGAAGATCCGCTGATCATTGCGATGTAGAAGAAAGGGGATTTTCGCAAGGCTGCTCGCGAGATCGGTCTCACGCGCTCCAGAAATAAGATGCTTGCTTTTCAGCAAAAGACACAAGTCAACACGAGCTTAGTTGTATCGTCATTTGTCTTTATATCGCATTTGATAAAGGAGAGGATAACAAATATGATGTAACCGGGCTCGTGTCGACTCGAGTCTCTCGCTGGAAAGTAACCGGACTCATTCTGTAACTCATAACAATAATTCCGTTATCGTTATCGTATCATTGCGCGCACATTTTGCGATAAATTTTATCCATGTGAAGATACATGACGGATATGTTACGCCCGGAATGCATACGTTAGAAGTTACAGAATGAGGACACGGGGAATGATCGTTATCCGATTAGCGCCGTCGCGGTACTAACGTAGGCACGGTAAGCATTAACGGCTGCTACGTTACTCGCACTGCTTTTTTCCCTCATGTCAAACGAGAGTGAGATCGGGCCGGCGTGTCGAGCCTTAACTATCCGTGATATTCATTCGCCACACAGACAGTCAACAATATTGTACAAATACTTCGCGTCGCGATCAATATAGAGGGGAGGGCCGGGGGAGGGGGTCTTACTTGGGCAGAGAGGAACGTGTGTTTCGTTCGTGTATACATTTCTTACGTATCGAGCAGCATCTGGTGAAGAATCCAGAATGCCCGGGGAG